TTAGTTCCAATCCAATTTCTATGATGCAGATGAACCTTGAATAAGATCTGAGTACATTCAAAGGAATACTACCTCTTTTTCAAGAAAATAATACTATAATAACCCAAATCTCTCACTAAATTGCAGCAAAGAATTTAATTGTAAGGAAGAATCAATTTCACATGTTCTAATAGGCAATTCCATACGCATAACTCAGAAACCTAGTTGAATAAGGCGTATTTCTTTTTTGAGACGGAAAATTTTGGACCATTTCTCGATGTGTGTGTGTCATCCTTGCATAGGGGCCATGCTAATCTTGATGTGTATTTCAAAGGCATAGTACCTCTTCTTCAAGAAGATACTCCCTCCGTTTCTTCAAATTAGATGAGGTACTTTCCTTTTAAGTCTGTTCCAAAATAAATGACACATTTCTAAATTTGGAAATAATTCAACTTTAAACTCTTCATTTTACCCATTTTACCCTTAATGAAAAGCTTTTATAACCACACAAATGGCATGGCCCCACAAAACTTTTACCCCTTAAACTTTTAAGACCACAAGTTTTAAAAGTCTTCTTCTTTTTCTTAAACTCCGCGCCGAGTCAAACTACCTCATCTAAATTGAAACGGAGGGAGTAATAACCTAAATCTCTCATTGAATTGTGGCAAATATAACTTAGTTTTGTTAGGACGAACCAACTTCACATGTTTCAATAGGAAATCCCACACAAACAACTTGGAAACCTAGTTAACTTCCACTTACCATGATAAAATCTGTCTTCTTTGTGTTCTACTGCATTAATAAAAGTTCCTTCCTCTAATAGATATTAAACAAGATTAACCAAGAAACGGACAGCTCCATCAGCTATGAAGGAAAAACAGGAAATCAGCTGCATGGAGGCAGCGTGAATACTTTTTTTTTAAAGAAAAGAATCATGCGACCAACATGTCATTCTATTGGGTAAATGGTTGTAATTAGGGTGTATTCTTTCAGCAAGTTTCTAATTTGCATATAATTTTAGTCCCCATTCATTTAGTGTTTTATGAATCAGTAGTAATTTACTGAATAAAATTATTAATAAGAATAAGATTATACTTGTATACCTGAGCACGTTCACCGTCATACTTGTATTCACATGTGAACTCCATATCTTGAAACTTATCAAGAATTTCAGATACTCCTTTGGTTGGCTTAGCTAGCATAGGTCCAACCGGAACACCAGGTGAGAAGCTGCATGTTTCTGAAAGCTTCCAAACACCATCAGCTAGTATAGCAGGAACAACTTTTTCATAAACCGGAATTACAGAGTACACTTGCTTTACAATCTTGGCTGCCTGCCGAACACAAAAGTCAAATGAAAATAAGTAACTAATGAGATATGCATTGAATAGCACTGCAAATGTAACAGGCGGCTTGTCCAGCAGACATACATCATATACAAAATGCAAAGGGATCAGAATTTGATGAATCAATTAATCATGAACTTAAATAATCAATTAATCTTCATGGTGTAGATTGGAATGGGCAGAAGATAGTGAAACCCTGTTGCAATTCCTAAAATCTTTTGTATTGACAGTCGGGGTTTTCTTTTGCTTCTTCTTACCATCTTTTACTTGTAACTGTAGCACTTTCTTAGTGCTGGCTTCTGACAGTGATAATACTTACCATTTCAAAAAATTAATTTCGCAGACCATTCTCTATCCATAAAGTACGGCTTTCAAGTTTTGGTGATGATTAAAGAGTTAAACACAAAGCACAATACTTCTATCCAACAATTAATAGTACTATAAAGGTGTATTTCTTTCAAACGTGGTGGGGCCCATGGCCCCTCAAGCAAAGGGATGGATCTGCCACTGCTTGTACTTCATCACAGGTCATGAAAGTTTTCAGGAAGGAAAATATATAGAAAACTTCTCCCAAATGGGCAACAACAAACCTCTTCCAAAGGAGAATCTACACCTGCAGGAGGTGATGAATGCGCATCCGAGTACACAGAAGCATGAGCAAGTGCGACTAACAGTGTTTGTTCAGCCAAACCAATGCGTAGCTTTGTCTGCAAGAAAGAGAAATCAACTGAACAAAGGTTCAATGTGCAATGCAACAGCTAACTAGCTCTATGAAGAAAAGAAAAGAAAAGAAGAAAAGGCAAACTCTAACCTGGAGGAGGCGAATCAAATATTGGGGTTCACAATCAGTAGCTGCAACAAGTAGTGATTTAATGTAATTCTTTTTCTTTTCCTGACTATCCTTCCCAGATTCCTGAAAGAATTCCCACATAAGAAAAGACAACTTAATCATAGTACAAATACTGCATATAATAACTGCAAGATCCAAAACAATATCAGATAAAACAGGAATAAATATTTAAATAGAGGAACATCTGCACCACATAAAGGAGAAACTTATTTTGTAGCTTCTCTGACAAACCCAATTAGCACAATACATAGAACTGACTTTGATTGGAGGCTCTTCTATAGGAACTTCAAATATGTGTTTTGAGAGCTATGTCACTTAACATCTTAATCCCACTTCAAGAAGTATTTAAAAAAAAGTGAACGATGAAACTGGAATACCTTGGCAATAATTCGAAACGTGTCAAAAACTTTGGCAACAGTCAATGCTTCTGGTTTACGCATCAGAGGCTGTGATGAACGGCTTGCTTTTGCAACAAGGCCCAAGTCTCCAAGCTCCTGTATTTAACAATGAAAACAGATGTTTGGACTAGTCAAAACCTATTTGGAGTAAAGGTTGAATCTCCTAGATTGCATGATCTAATTTAAATAGAACAGGTAGAATTTAGACATTACAGAATACAGATGTATGACATAACCGTACAAGTTTTCTATTAGTCCCTCATAATAATCATGTAACTGTAGCTACCACGTATATGTGATCAAGTCATCAAACACATGATTTTTGAGATGCTGCTCTAAATGTGATAGTCAGAAATGACGATTCTGTCAGGCTTGCAGCTAGGATTTGGTCGATGACTAGGTGAGAAAAGTGTTCATTGATAGAAAAACTATGCAAACTGAACATGAAATATGGAATAAGCAAATCTCTGTTTAGACAAGAGTGGGTTGCTCTAGTGGTAAGCACCCTCCACTTCCAACCAAGAGGTTGTGAGTTCGAGTCACCCCAAGAGCAACGTGGGGAGTTCTTGGAGGGAGGGGAGCCGAGGGTCTATCGGAAACAGCCTCTCTACCCCAAGGTAGGGGTAAGGTCTGCGTACACACTACCCTACCCCAGACCCCACTAGTGGGATTATACTGGGTTGTTGTTGTTGCAAATCTCTGTTTAATGTACTGACAACTTGACCAAACTATTAAGAAGAAGTTGCACTAATAGCAAGGTACTATACACAGCAAAAATAGAGGCTTGTTCCATTTTAGGCTTCTAAATTCAAGTACGTGCCAAGGCAATGCAGCATTTGATACCCCACTAACACCGCCACCACCCCCCACCACCCCAAAAAAAAAACAAGTCTCTGCATTTCCTTCAATCTCCAAACAACACTAAAGCTAAATTACGCTTTTGTCCAGTAGATACTCCAAACACTAGTTTTCTACAAATTCGAAGAAACCGAAAAAGAGGAAAAGTAAAAACAGAAACAGTGACACGAAGTAGCATATAATTACTAACAAAATCTCATATAGTACTATGAATTGCACCAATGTGGTGCACAAATTTCAGAACGAATTTACCTAATAAGTCGCATAGTTCAAGTTCCACATATATACTTTTATTTCCACTGGAAGAGCCCCGAATATCTTCATTTGACAAACCATGGCGTATAGCTAGGCATATATGGGCTGTCAATGACTAAATAAACTAACAATATCACTTCATCAACCCCAGCAGACTAACCATCAAGTAAGGACAAACTAGATATTTCCAAAAGACAAGGCTAAGGCAATTACACTCAATAAATTCACTTCTAACATTCTCTCGAGACCCTTTTTCACACGCTGCACTGTTTTTAAGTCAAATAAAATATTCAAGTCAAGCTAAAACAACTTGTGTTAAAGGGCATTAATGCTTCAGCTGCAACCTTACACATTTTGAAATTTTCAACCTAGTTCTTCCAAATTAACAAACTTAATACCTTATATTGCTTCTTAATATGTGCTTCTTTAGTGCCACAAGCTTCAGCAAGTGCCTTGATAATAGAAGCATCTCCAATACCAAGCTCCAAACCATCATGTGCAGCTGCAATCTTGTTAGCCGAAAGGTACACAACAGGCAACAAATCCTCGGGTGTCGTCTCAATCACAGTCCTCAACATATTTGTCACAATTTCAGTAATTACAATTCTTCCTGACTCCTTCGAAATTGCGTCGAACGCCTTAACTACAAACATGAATGGCACTCTCTCACCATTCCCCCAATATGCAGCCTTTCTTGGATCAAAGTTGGCAGCTCTTTTCTTCAGCTCAGTCACACTCTCATCTGGACTTATCATCTTCTGTTTCTTCACCAAAACCTCTTCACTTTTCGACTCATTAACCAAATGGGTGTCCTCATTTGGCTTCAAAATTGAATCTTGATTATGATTTTCAAGAATAGCAGTTTTATTGGAAGTTTCAGCTTCTGGGGTTTTGCGTTTCTTGGGTGAGGAATCTTGTGTTGGGGTTTTCTTCTTGGAATTTGCCATAAGAACATCGAAGGCAGAGCGACGAGTGGACATGGTTCTTGAATTAGGGTTTAAGAAAAGGGGTCTAAGGGTTTTAAGGGGATTAAAGGGGGGTATAAGGAGAAAGAGGGAAGAGAGTTTAAGGGAGAAATGGAGACGGTTGTAAAGAGAAGGTTGAGTGAAATGGTGACAGCATGAGCGCAACGGCAACATTCAAACCAAACACACGCAATGCCCGTAAATGGAAGTTGAGACCGGGTTCCTTTTTCTTTGGTAACTATTTATATGTCTATGTTTAGTTTGTTTTATAATGTTTCATTTTGCTGTGATATGTGAAAAAAAAAAAGAGTTCCAAACAGCAGGGAAAGAAGAAAGAAGAAGAAAACGTTAAAGTTGTTCTTCAAATAGACATGCATTGTGACTGCAAGAATTGTTTCAAAAGAATTTCCAAGTGTACACAAGATTTGCATGGTATGAACATTAACCGATATACGATCTTTATATGTCTTGATTTAGGTTTTTATTCTTTTCATTTCTACTAATCGATTGTTCTTTAAAATTGCCTATAATTATGATAAGGTATAAAGTCAATGAATATAGAGGAAACTGAAATGAAATTCAAAGTCACAGTGACTGGCAAAGTGGAACCATTAAAACTTCAACAGAAATTTCAGAAGAAATTGAAGAAATCGGTGGAGCTAATTTCTCCAAAGCCAAATGAAGAGAAAGAGATTTCCAAGAAAACCATGCTGGAAATATCTCTTGGATGTGACAAATGCATTAAGAAAATGCAAAAAATTGTCACCAAAACCGAAGGTAAAGATTTCGTTTTTACAATTTTCATGGTCCCTTTCTACCTCTTATATTTAAATTTCCTTTTCAATTATTCGATGGACTTTTTCTAATTGACTGAATTATTTTTATATGATATTAAAAAGGGTTTCAAGGAATATTTATAGATAGGTCAAAGAACTTGGTGACAGTGGATGGGGCAATGGACATTGAGTGTCTAGTGACAGAACTGAAAGAGAAGCTGAAAAAATCAGTCAAGATTGTTCAAAAGGAGAAAAAGGAAGAAAATGTGGAGCCAATTTGTTGGTGTCCAAATTTTCATGGTTATTACGGGCCACAATATTGTGATTGCTTTGTCCTGGAATGTGATTTGAAACCAATTTGCTGTCCAAAAGTTCATGGTTATGGGCCAGAATATTGTGATCGATTTGTCTATAGAGAAGCTGAATACTGCAGAATTATGTGAGCTAATTGCTGAGTTTAAGAAGGAGAAAAGGAGGAATTAAAGAACTCTGATTAGGAATTTAATTAAATTTTAATCTGCCTAATCTGCCTTTGTTTATAGAATACTAAAAGTTTCATATTCCCTTACTGTGTAGATATTATATATTGGAGTAATCTAATAGAAGAATTTTATTATATAACAAGAAAGAATATTTGGATTTGATCTCTTCTTCAGATCAATGTCTTAGGAGCTGTAATTAACGCTTTCTAAATCACTTTGATTTCTGCATTTATTTTGTATCTATTGTTTCTTTTCTTCTTTTGTCCTTTTTAGTTTATGTTTCCTTTAAGGAGATATATGTGTTTAATTTCTTTTGTCGACATATATTGAACCATTCATTTGAGACACATTATTAGTATCATATAATGCGTGGCTTTATTACTCAATGTTAAATTGATACGCCGTCCCAATTTAGATTTTTCATTCGTTTTCATTTTTGTGGAACGAAGCTTAAGGGTTAAGTCTTGTATCATTATTGGAGTCCAAGTGAATTAATTCGCGTTGAGTAAGGTTTCTAATGTTTACCACACTTTTATTTGTAAAATTCTCAAGCCCTTATATGAATACAGTTCCATCGGATCCGCCCGCGTCTATTATTATGTATCTGAAAACCAGAAGAAACTTTACCTTTCTTAATTCCACGAATTGCCGTTTCATATAACCAAATTTTGTAAGTGGAAAATGAACAAATGAAAAAATATTAATCCTTTGATATTTTATCCGCTTGATCATTATGTGAAATAGTATATTTAGAGAGCTACAACAAATTCGATCACCTATGTAAATGGTATATACCGATACGAATTTTTTTAAAGGTTTTCATCTGGTGTTCGGTACCTACGTTGGGCCCGACTAAATCCGGATTCCGAAAAATCCCACATGGGGTGGGTGGGATAAAACGATCCTAACATAGGTGACTTCATACAAACACTCTTTGAAGTTTGACTTTTTATACAGGGCGGCCCAAGAAGATTGGTGGTCTAAAGCCAATTTTTAATTTGGGGCCTTTCAGAAGGAAAAAAAAATTATCATAACATCGATGATTCATTCCGATGTTCCTACATAGAACTTAACTTCAAGTCTCTATGGCACATTCTTATCACATAAAATCTCGGATGCGAACCACCATTTCATCCATCCCGCTCCAATACGATGTTCGACATTCTCGTCAATATCCCCGTTATCTGGATTATTGATTCGAGGTACTTGACTCTTGGGAATGACTTGTGTATCGAGCCTCACCTCCACGTTCGCTTCATGAGTCATGTTGTTAAACTTGCACTCCAAGTGTTCTGTCTTAGTCATGCTCAACTTGAAACCCTTCGACTCTAGCGTTGACCCCCCTCGTGTCTCATCAATTAGAATTATATTACCCTCAAATAACATGCATCATGGCACCTCCCCTGAATGGGACACGTCAGCACATCCATCACCAAGACAAATAAAAACGGGCTAAGAACTGATCTTTGCTGCAACCCCATCATGACTCGAAAATGTTCCGGTCTCATCCCACTATCCTAACTTGAGTCTTAGCGCCATCATACATATCATGAATCACCCTAGTGTATGCTACAGGCACACCTCTAGCCTCCAAACATCTCCAAATAACCTCAAAATAACCTCTATAGGGACTTTGTCGTAAGCTTTTTAGGTCAATGAATACCATATGCAAGTCTCTCTTCCTCTCTCGATATTGCTCCACCAACCTCCTCACAAGGTGAATGGCTTCCATAGTCGATCACCCCGGCATAAATTCTTGCACCCGTACTTCCACCATCTGCTCCCAAGCTTTCATAGTGTGGTTTAGCAACTTGATACCCATATAGTTGATACAATTTTGGATATCATCTTTGTTTTTGTACAACGGAATCATCATACTCCACCTCTGTTCTTCGGGCATCTTTGTCAACTTACACATAACCCCCTCCACCTATTTAACCTTTATATGGCTACAAAACCCAAAATCATGACGACTCTCGAAGTGCTCTAAATCACCCAACACAATTTTCCTTTCCACCTCATCGTTCAAGAGACCATGGAAGTAAGTCTGCGATCTTTGTTGAGAATATGTGCTTCTTTCGCCAATTTTTTGCCCTCCTCATCTTTGATGCACTTCATTTGGTCCAGGTCACGGTCCTTCCTCTCTCTCACCTTGCTTAGCTTGTACAATTTCTTGTCCTCGCCTTTGGCCCAAAGTTCTTCATACAAACGGCCAAACGCTGCAGTTTTAGCTATTGTTACCTCTAACTTTGCCTCTTTCTCAACCTTATACCATACATGACCCTTTGTTTCCTCTTCCTCCTAATCTCTAAGTCCATTACCAAGAGCCTATGTTGAGTCGAGAGATTCTCGCTCGGAATAACCTTGCAATCCGTGCATAAACCTCTATTGCACTTCCTGAGGAGTAGTAATCAATTTGGGTCTTGGTTGACGAGCTCTGGAAGGTGACTAGGTGCTCATCCCTCTTCTGAAAATCCTATCACTAAATCAAATGCTTTAGCGAAATCCAACAGCGAAGTACCTCCGTCGTTTCTATCTCCAAAATCGAAGCTCCCATCCGCAACGTCATATCCCCTCGAGGACGTCCTGATGTGGCTATTGAAATTCCCCCGAGGAATAACTTCTCGGTGTGCGGGATACCGTGCAACACCTCATCCAAATCCTCCCAAAATTGCGTCTTGACCTAAGTTGCGCGGACTCTCATTTTTGGTGCCGCACCCGTCTCGACACGGGACGAGAGCGGGAGCGGGCTACGTCTCAGATTCGGTCAATTAACTTCGGATACTTTGACCTGAGTTCATCGACAAATTTGGGGGGAAATTGAGATTTTGATTTCTCAAAATTAAAAATAAACATATTTAAGACATGCGAAATGGCATACCTTCAATATTGTAGTACTTTTGTCTCATATTTGCTGCTTTGTTTTCTAGAAAAAACAAGAATTCAAGGGGTCATGTTCTGAGTTCGGACTTATAGCTCTATTCTTATAATTTTGTATTTTTTTAGCCGAATCCCCGCACCCGTATCCATACTTGGATTCGCACCCCCGAATCTTAAAATTTAGATTTTGCCGAATCCGTGCTTATATCGGATGGCCGCACCCGAGTCCGTGCAACTTAGGTCTTGACCTCCACGTACAAGCCCGCTTGAGGAGCGTATGCACTAATGACATTTAAAGTAAGCCCACCGACAACTAGCTTAATAACCATCAGCATGTCGACCTCCACCACTAGCTCGCTGAGTTCCTTATACACCAAACTACCTACTCCATTCTTGTCCCTCACGCCTCCTGAGTATCGCAGTTTAAACCCGTCAACATCCCGTGCCTTGGTTCTCACCCGCCTAGTTTCCTGGACGCAGGTTATATTGGTCTTCCGCTTTCGGAGAATCTTTACCAACTCTATAGACTTATCCGTTAAAGTCCCTATATTCCAGGACCCATCTCTCAGGTTAGAGGCTACCTTGCCTCCCTTACCCCCTACCACTCGCCCCCTTGCCTGACCCGAGGACATGACCTTACTCTACCATCATGCACTACAGTCGCTATAATCTAGGATATACTAAGCTAACACTATCACTATGGCAGGCAAAGAGTCAAAAAAGAATAAAGACTAAAGTTAAGTGGCACTAGTAGTAGTCGGTAATACAGATAAGTACGCAGACACTGCACTTTAAGTAGCGCAATTTTAATTGGCTACAAGGAAAGAGACAAGATCGACAAGTGAATAGGAGGTACTCAGGTACCAACTCCCGAAAGGTAGAACCTGGAATGTAATCGGAGGTGACAAGGCGATGTTGTAGCTCCAGCCTTGAAAGATTCCCAGCTACCCACGCTCCGCCACGCGGCATCACTGACGCAACCAGAGCTCCCCTCTAGCGCAACTTCGTAGACCCCTGTAAATGTGTACCTAAAACACATACACCACACAAAAGAACAAAACAGAAGAACAGGCGGACGGGAATTGCTGCCGGCGCCTGTCGTTGGACAGAAAGGAAAAGGGGGAAGCGAGGAAGAGGGAGAGAGAAGAAAAAGAGAAATTAGGAGAAAGAAAGAGGGGACAGCAGCGGCGACGCGGTACTACACTGGGGCCGGACGCTGACCAGAGAAGGTGGAGAAGAAAGAAGAGAGAGAAGAAGAAGAAGAGAAGGAAGGAGAAGTCAGACGCCAGCGACGGGGATTGTCGCTGGCACCGAGTCTCTGACCAGAAAAGGGGTAGAGAGAGAAGAAGAAGAAGAAGGGGAGAGAGAGAGAGAGAGAGAGAAGGAAAGTCAGAAGGAAGGGAAAGGGGGACCTCACCTGGCTGGAGAGTCGTCGCCGGCGGTCTGTCTTGTGACCATTAGAAGTAGAAAGAAGAAGGTACAGAAGGGGGAAGAGAGAGAGAGAGAGAGAGAGAGTACTATTAAATTGAAGAATTGGTTAAAAGTACCTCCGCGTGTATTTTAAAGGAATGTATTTTCCATGTAATTAGGAGCACACGGTGAAAACTTTCATATCTTTTGATCATGTCAAACACTATATATCAGCTTCTCTTGTTGTTATCTCGCTGAGAAGCCTTTGCCGCATTAGATGTAAGAGTATCTGAATAGCCATTGCTACGTATGTGCTGTAGGAATTACGTCAGTCAGAACGTAACATGAAGCAATGATCCTTTAGTAATATTGGAGTTGCTGTTCTGCATATAATTTTTGACTGTTTTAGCACTCTCTTTCTCTCTCCACGGAAACATAAATTTGCAGTCACCAACATGATGAAATACTTTCTTACTGCAAATCAGCAAAAGTGGAAATTTTGGCTTATGATTTATCATCTAGATTTCTTGTATTTGGTGTTGTTCAACTCCTTGGAAGTCTAAGATGCATCCTTTGCCTATAAGTCAAAAGCTTTTGTCTTTGAGTTTACTTGTTAAAAGAAACACTTAAAATTTTAAAAAACTCATGTTTGATTTTCTGGTTGACTTGATGTGATGGTGTTAGGTTTTGAAGTAACTGAATCGGACATTTATGCTTAAGGTTTGACAACAATGTCGTCAAAAGATTTGATACTTTAAAATCCATTGTTGGCAAAACCATTTGAAGAATTGCTGCTCATCCTGCAGCTTGTGCTGTCTATGTTGTTAATCGTTGAATGTCGTTTTCACAGTGAGAGCAGAGGCTGAATACCTGAAGCAATTCAAGCCAATAGTATCTGTTGGCCTCCAGCCGCTTGGCATGCAGTCTCAATTTATTAACAATGGAAGACACTTGATATGTCCTGTTCAAGAAAAGCGTGCTTTAATAGTATGTGCTGCTGCTCTGGTAACATTTCTTTGGGTACTACTGTTTGTGTAACTGCTAGCATTGCCCGGTTTAGATAATTTAATGCCCCTAATGATTTTAGTGGGTCAGTCTTGTTATGTCATATATATTTATTTTGTGCGATTTTTTCTGTGAGAAGCTTCAGAATGCTAGCAAGTCGCTGCTCATGGCATAAGTTATCACATTGGACTATGTCTCCTTCAGCATGCCAAGCAGGATTCTGCAGTCAGTATATTGGAAACAACTGCACTCATTAAAACAAGGATCCTAAACTCAAGTTGATTAGCCTCTCTACTTGCCACTCGTTTATAGATATGGATTGGTAAAATGCGGAAATATATCCTTGTTTGTTACTTGAAAGTGGTAGTTTAATGCATTTCTTGTTACAGACAATTGGAAATAGGATCTACCAAACATTTAATCTAAGCACCCAAGGGTGTGGCCTAGTGGTCAATGAAGTGGGTGAGAACCATGAGGTCTCAGGTTCAAATCCCAGCGGATGCAAATACTAGGTGATTTCTTCCCATCTATCCAAGCCTTGGTGGATAGAGTTACCTGGTACCTGTTGCGGGTGGGAGGTGGCAGGTATCCCGTGGAGTTAGTCGAGGTGCGCGCAAGCTGGCCCGGACACCACGATTATCAAAAAAAAAATTTAATCTAAAAATAACAATGGGAATTAGGACCTCATCACTTATCTATACTGATGTTCTTGATGCTGCTGCTGCTGCGATTACTACTGCTTGCATTCAGTTTTTGGTTTTCCATTTACCTGTTCAACCTTTCAATTTTGCATTTAATGCAGAATGCCAGATGTGCAACTGAAGGCCAGACGCAGACTCTTACAAGGGAAAATTCAACCATTACAGTTGCACCAGGTAATTTTTTCAAGTTCTTTACATAAACTGGTGGAACAAAATGAACGGAAATAAAACAATCTATATATTACCTTTTAGCTGTCTTCACTGTTACCTTTTTTAAATTTTCATTGTGCACTTTATTTCAAAGAAGCATGGGCTTCATCTCGCTTCTCGTTCTTATCAGAAAGGAACTTCTCGCTTTGTGCTGCTGGCCCGTTGGACCTTATCACTTTTTTGAGCTTTTCGCTTTTTGAAAAACTGGTAGAAAGATCATAACATCAGTTTATCCCTTAACCAATCTTTTTCAGCAATTTTCAGTTTCAAATTTTTTTTTCTAGATAGACCCTTGTGGTCCGTCCCTTCCCCGGACCCCACGCATAGCGGGAGCTTAGTGTACCGGGCTGCCCTTTAATTTTATCCCCCAAAAATGAGCAGCCATGCTTTTATATTCTGTATAACGATCCTGTGCAAAGTATCATTTGAAGTTGATATGTCTGGGTTGAATGCAGGGAAGGTAAAATCTCCTGATCTAGACGATGGTGGGGCTGGATTTATCCCTCGTGATGATGGCGGCGGCATGGGTGGGTGTGGAGGTGGGGGTTGGGGTGG